TCTCTCTCTCTCTCTCTCTCTCTCTCTCTCTCTATCAGTTATTTAACCCGGAACAATAACTATTGGCGCGATCGTGGTATTCGTGGACCAAAACCGGTGATATTTATGGGTACAATATGGCAGATATTTAAGAAGGCAATATTTGAAGTGAACAGGGACAATTACAAACGATATGGTAAAATATATGGGTAAGTGTGGAATTTTAGGTCAATTATCAGCTACATTAGTATATTACAAAAGTTAGAAAATTTTTGTCCAATAAAAACTAACATGATACAAAATTTTTAGTGGATTTATGGGCACTCGACCGGTGCTAATGATTACAGACCCGGAGCTCATCAAAGATATGAATATAAAAAATTTTCATCACTTTATTGATCACACGGACATGAAAATGGGGGACCCATTGAACGACCGGTCGTTGTTTAATCTGATGGGAGACGAGTGGAAAGGCATGCGATCTGTGGTTAGTATATCATAGAAATTATGATCAATTTGTTTAATAAATAAAATAGTTTAATATATTTTATTAAGTCACAAGGTTAAATATCTGAGAGAGAGAGAGAGAGAGAGCAAGTTTATATTTACCATTATAAGTATAAAACTATAATTATAATATTTAATAAAAAATTTAATAATACTTACAAATAAGAAAAAACTATGAAAATTAAATAAAAACACAAAGCAGTAAAACTGAACAATACGGATAAGATCATTTTGATTGTATTTTATTAACTTTTTTTATAAAGGATATACAATATTTTCAGCAACTTTTTACTTTTAACATATTACATAAAATCAATTTCTTTATATACTTTGTTGAAGCTTTATATGGATGTTGTTTGTAATCTATCAACCTTGAAATTATACAAGGCTAAATTAGTTGATATTGTCAAATCAATTGATAATAAATAATGTTTATAATTTACTGTACGCTTACATCATTAGTGCGTTTGGCTCACAACTATCCTAATTTACCTAATATTATAAACATGCTATTGAAATATCATTTATTAAATTCTTAAACACATTTTCAAATCACGGTGCAAAATTTTATTTAAAAATATTACAAACAATGTGAAGTCTGAACATGTTATCTTTAACCATCTACATAACTATCTAGATAACTATCTACAAAATAAATAAGTAACTTTATGCTGTAAAACAAAATATGATAATACAATTTTGAGCTAGTTATTTGCAATAATTCTAAATATTGTTTATACAACAATTATTATTTAAATATATTAGAAGTTTTTAATTTTATTTAAAAATTTACATAAATAGTTTATTAAATAGGGTGCATTTAAAAATTAATTTAAAATATGATTTATCTTTACATTGATAAAAATCAAAATTTATATAATAACTTCAATAATTATAATTAATTAAAATATTGTAATTACTAAATATAATATTAGTTATAATTCTGGTTTAAATGCTTGTTCACAATTACCGCTTCTCAATACCGATATGTATGTCTCCTGTGGTTAACATGAACTCAAACTTCTTGTACTTCAGCGGAACCGCTGTATTAGCCGTACGTTTGAATCGGTATTTAGTGATGAGATGCGCGACAGCAGTCTTGGCCTCCATTAACGCAAACCTCATTCCCACACAATTTCGTGGATTCTGAGCGTCTCTGCAATACAGGCCTCCAAATACGGCATTCGAGCGATTGATTCGTAGCTATAGTTGCCGTCGAAGGCATTGATCTCTTCGTATAGTCTTTGCTGACACTTCTCATTGACGGACAACTCGTATATCAGATGTGATAATAGAGTGGCAGTTGTCTCATATCCGGCCACAAGAAACAGGAAACTCGAGGCCAACACGTCGTCGTCAGTCATATCAACTTTGCGTGACTTTTGGTCATTCAAAGCATCGGTTGTGCCGAAGATGTGTTCGTTGAGGTCATCGATGTCCTGATCCTCACTATTGTCTGCACTCCTATTCTGGGCGTTAAGAATGAGCTGAAGATAATCCTTGTGTTTACCAGAATTTATCTCCGATTTCCTTCTGGCAATAATTGTTGAAATCTAGATAAAAGTATTTTGTAATTAAAATGATAAACTTTTCATTAATTGTTTAAATATAACAAACACTAACCGCCGATCGAAAAAATGTTTCAACCGATGGACTTAATGATGAAATTTTGATATAATCCATAAGTTTTGGGAACATTGCGGGTATTGTGAGGACTAACCATATGCGCCAATTACCCCTGATCACTTGTCGAGCATTTTCTACAAACTCGTGGGTTTTGTGGTCGTTATGAGTGTCTATTTGAGTGCCAAAAGCACACGAAGCGATCACATCCATAGTTAGGTTACCCATCGCTCGCTTCACATCCAATTCATCCCCATTTATAGCCTTTGTTTCCAAGTATTGGTCCAATCGATGGACACAATCCGTGATAATTGGATGCATTGCTCGCATCTTTCCCGATGAAAATGTCGGACTTATCTATTAATTTAAAACACTTATTATTTATTAAAACTCATTTAATTATATCATATACTTAATTAAATAACTGTAATTTATATGTAATACTGACCACAGATCGCATAGCTTTCCACTCGTCTCCCATCAGATTAAACAACGACCGGTCTTGCAATGGATCCCCGGTTTTAATGTCGTTGTGATCAACAAAGTTATGAAAGTCTCTGATATTAATCTCTTTGATGAGCTCCGGGTCGGCCACCACTAGCATCGGTCGAGTGCCAAAAAATACTCTGTTTAATGATTTATAAATGTAATTAAGTAATTAGTTTACTAAATATTAATATTATCAATTAATATAACTACCCATATACTTTGCCGTATAATTGATAATTGTGCATGCTGAGCTCGGGTATTGATTTGGTAAACACTTGCCAAATGGTGCCCAAAAGCACCACCGGTTTTGGGCCAGGAATACCACGACTTGACCAATAATTAAAGGTCCTGGTAAAATAGCTGTTTGGATGCATGTCAATTAATTTTATGTGTTATAAACTTAATTAATTAATAATTATAAAATTATTTAATATAAAGCAACTTACAAATATAGACCAATTAATACCGCGATGTATCCAAACAATGCATTTAAGCTAAACATAGTCGCAAAAAACATTATGCTTAAAATGATAATTTACTTTACACTACAACAGCAATATTATTAATAGTTTTTTAAACTTAATGATTGTTTTGTATACTCGGTGTTTATATAGTCTGCAAAAAAAACGTTTAATGTCAAATGTATTTATTTGAGATTATTTAATATCTAAATATTCAAGGACAGATTAGTTAATCAATGAAGTGCAAGTAATTGAAATTGTGATTTAATAATACTGTTCAGAAGTGCATTAGGTTCCTAAAAAACCTTATATACTTTATCTAATCAGTCAACGGAATCTGTCCGCGCGGTTTTCGTGATTACAGCCAAACTAGAATAGCTAGATTAAATTTGTAAAAAGTAAAATGAAGGTTCACATGTCTAGTTTTTTGAATCAAAAAATT